ACTGCTTCTGATAAGGAAAGTCAATGGGGAAGCCAGATTCACTTAACAACCGTGTTACTAACTTAACAACTGCAGTGATTCACTTAACAATCGTGGCAAAAAAAACTTGTAAAATGGAACAAAACTCACTTGACAAATGTTTCACTTAACAACATAAATTTTGGGCTCAATTCTGATCGTAAGTTGAGGACTCTCCGTACACAATTCCCAACGCTTGTTCGGGTAGTCCTCGACTTATAGCCATCCGTTTAGTGGCCATTCAAAGTTACAACAGCACTGAAAAGAAGTGATTTATGACCTTTTTCCCCCCCCAAACAAACCACCTTCAGCATCCCGATGGCCACGTGATCAAAATTCGAATGCTTGGCAACTGACTCGTATTTATGATGGTTTGCAGTGTCCCGGCTTTGTGTGATCCCCTTTTGCGGCCTTCTGACAAGCAAAGTCAACGGGGAAGCCAGATTCACTTAATAACCATGTCACTCACTTAACAACCGCAGGGATTCACTTAGCAACCGTGGCAAGAAGGCTTGTAAAATGGGTCAAAACTCATGTAAGAACTACCTTGCTTTGCAAGGTGTTTTAGGCTGAAGCCCTGAATTAAGTGTTTATGGTGGGGTCTTAAAAGGGGAGCAATTGTCATCGTAAGTCAAGGACTATCTGTGAACTCTTTTATAAAATATTGGACAACCAGCTAACCATGAGCTGGAAGTGTGCAGCGGCAGCCAAAAAAGCTAATGCAATCCTAAATTGCATCGACAGAGGGATATAAATCAAGATCAAGTGAGATACTAATACCACACTATAAAGCCTTAGTAAGACCACACCTAGAGTACTGCATCCAGTTTTGTTCACCACATTATAAAAAAGATGTTGAGGCTCTAGAAATAGTGCAGAGAAGAGCAACCAGGAGGATTAGGGGACTGAAGACTAAAACATATTAAGAACGGTTACAGGCTTGGCTAGTCTAGTGAAGAGAAGGACCAGGGGAGACATGATAGCCGTCTTCCAATATTTGAGGGGCTGCCACAGAGGAGGGGATCAAGCTGTCTTCCAAGGCACCTGAAGGCCAGACAAGGAACAATGGATGGAAACTGAACAAGGAGAGATTCAACCTGGAAATAAGGAGAAACTTTCTGACAGTGAGAACAATCAACCCATGGAACAGAAGTTGCCTTCGGGAGTTGTGGAAGCTTCATCACTGGAGCCTTTCAAGAAGAGATTGGACTGCCATCTGTCAGAAATGGTGTAGGGTCTCCTGCTTTGGCAGGAGTTAGAAAAGGATTGCGGAAGGCAGAGGAAGCTTGGCGAGGATAGAAAAGGCTTTCCATGTTGTCTTTTTTTGATGCTGGCTAACAAAAGCTGAGCCGGGACACGCTGCTGCCAAGGCAAATTCCTTTCCGGAGAAATAAATGGCTTTATTCTTTTCAAATCCACCCCTATGCTGTTTTACATTCATCGATACGGGTGGTGGGCAGAGGGACTCCTCCGTGGCTTTTGATTTCAGGCAGCGTTTAAGGTTGCCAAGAAATAATTTCCTCCCCCCTTCCCCCCCCACAATGGAATCCGGGAGGAAAATAAATGTTTTGTTAAAAACAAAGGATTCTCCAAACGGGCCTCGTGTGTATTTGGGATTGTCAAAATATTTAGATCTGAGGCTAGGATATTGTCTGTGATACGAGGGAGGGAAGGAGGGAGAGTGCCTTGCAATCCAGCCGCCCCCAACAGAATAAAGTTATTTTCAATAATGGCCACTTTGTGCAAACGTATTTATATCTATCTGTCTTTGACTTGCTGTAATTTAGGGGCAAATGGCATGGAAACAGTTTCCTCTCTGCCTCCAAGGAACTTGGCGACTTTAAGCTCTTTGAAATGTCTTTGAATATTATTAGTAGCTTGGGTTGGTAGTGTGGAGTCATCGTCCTTGGTTTTAAGTACCGTCTGTGGGGTGTAAATTAGTGATTAGTGTGAAAAAATAGTCATATGTCACTTTTTCAGTGCCATTTTGAACTATCACTCAGTAAATTGTTGTAAGTCAAGGGCTATTTGTATACACCCTTCCACATGGGTGTGTCACACACCTTATTGATTTCTGTATTTATTGCACTGCCGTTCTCCTGCAGTGCAAATCAACTTGAAATTTGCAACCGTTTTAGTTTTCGAAAGAGTTGTTAGATGCCGTAAGTGTGGGCTACCTCGGAATAGATGTGATTTGCCATGAATGAGGGGGTGTCTTCTTTCCTTCTTTTGATGCTTATGCTTCCTTGCAAGTATGAATATTGATTGACAGCATCAATCACCTTTGGCCCAACGGAGATCTCGAAAGAGAAGGAGGATGCTTAAAAATAATTCCTTTAAAGCAGGGGTCTCCAACCTTGGCAACTTTAAGACTTTTGGACTTCAACTCCCAGAATTCCTCAGCCAGCAAAGCTGGGAGTTGAAGTCCACGAGTCTTAAAGTTGCTTTGCTGGCTGAGAAATTCTAGGAGTTGAAGTCCACGAGTCTTAAAGTTGCTTTGCTAGTTGGGGAACTCTGGGAGTTGAAGTCCACGAGTCTCAACGTTGCTTTGCTGGCTGAGGAATTCTGGGAGTTGAAGTCCACCAGTCT